CATCACGGTGGTGGCAGACAGGATAATAACAGGGAGATAGCAGCTGGACCACCAGTCACTCCACAAACCAGCTGTTCCCCCCACCCCCATCCTCAGAAGACAAGGAACTCTGGAGCAAAACTATCTGCGGGAGTCTAAGACCATCCCTCCGCTGATACTAGTACTCTGTCTTCTCTGCTTCCCTGTCTCCAGAAGGTATGTTCTCCTTCTTCCTGCACATCAGTCAGGTGGCAGCTTATTAATTGGAATGATTTGATTTCCTATTAAAATCAGGTTTCCAGGAACCAAGGGCATACTTGCTGATTCCTGGGCCCATGCCTGTCACCTTCAGTGCCCAGGCCTAGGACACAGCCCCATTCTTGGGCTTCGATGTGCTAAGAGGTTGTCTGTCCTACAGCTGTGCAGATGGGAAAGGCTCTCTGGGCTACAGAAAGCACTGAAACTCAGGTGTTCCCATTTATTCACTTGGCTCAGGGCAGATGCCACTTACAACAGGGAAAGTCATGAGGGGTCTGACAATGCTGGAAGGAGGGGGCAGTCTTTGCTCCACAGAAAATGAGACCCTAGACTTGGAAGGTGGAACGTGGGTAGCAAAGGTGCCTCTTCTTTCCTCTCACCCCAGGACAGATGCCAGTGCTGGCAAGGAACAGAGGAATTCATGAGCACCAACATGGAGAACGGAAGTGTGGGTGGCACTGCTACATGTCTCTGCTGCTTGTTCATTCACCCCAGCACCAGGCAGAGGGTCAGGCTTGTGATCAACCCCATAGCCAGGTCTGGGGAGTAGACTTAGGTCCATAACCACTGCTCCTCCTGAACTTCCCTGGTGGCCCAGAAGGTCTCTCAAAGAACAGACAACTGCCACAATCAGAAATGGACCCTTACTCCCGCTTCTCCTTGTTCTAACCCTGTGAAGTCTCTAAGATGGGGCTAAGAAGCACCTAGAAGCTATGTTCTGAGTATGAGAACATCTAACTTGTCCCAAGACCTTCAGGGCAATTGCAATCACTGCCAAGATGCCTCCTGCCCTGTCTCCCAATGCCTCTGCCCAGCCACGGTTCCTCAARAGCCATGAGGTGACAGCTCCTAAGGCACCTAGTCAAGAGCACCCAGCTCTACTATGAAGGCATTCTGACCTTGGGAGGCATCCTTTTGCCAGGCAGAGGTGTCTCCCTCTTGCCTGCATAGCTCCACATCCCATTGTCTGGCAAAGCTTGTGCCTTGGGGGCTATGTCTGGGAATCCCCAGACCCAAGCAGCAGCCCAGAGGTAGGAAGACAGGAACGCATGGAGACCAGSTGTCCCTTAGGTCCTTTGCTCCGTCATCCTACAGCTGCTCGCCTTGCCTCAGGGTAGCTGGACTGGAGTCACAGGGACACTTGTAGTAGTCACTGCACTAAATATGCTCCTCCACCTGGTCAATCCTAGAACTCAAAACACAGAGGGCTGCCCTCTTGGTCATCTCAAGGGGTCCTTAGTTGCTAGTCTGGGCTTTGAGCCCTCCCTTCACTGGCCAATGACCAAAGTTGGCTTCCTCACCTGTTAGTATCAAAAAGATGATGGACACAAAGCATCCAGTGCTGTCTCCAGTTTCAGACACAGGTCCAATCCTTGGGTGCTCAGCTTCCATCCATTCTCCTTGGCACTGAGATCAGTCTCTTCTCACCACCCTCTCTGTTCTTACCCTGGTCAGTCCCTTATGGAGTGCACCCTTGAACTGTCACTGCCTCCCCAACCAGCCTCACAGCCCTCAACCATTCCAACCAAGATCCCACACAGACCCTCCTAGGGCAGGCACCATAGCATGGCATGATGCAATGAGAGAGAAGGGCAGGGCAGACCCACTGCTAGGGAAGACCCACTRTAAAGAGCTGCGGCTTTGCCCAGGGTGCTCACATGTGACCCCTCAAAGTTATCAGGCACTGAGAGTTGCAGAGACATCTCTTGCTCGGCTCTCATTTCTCCCTCAGAAAGGCTTGGCAAGGAGGTCAATGGCCATGTTTACCAGACAGGGAGATACCACACAGTAACAGAGGCCTTGAAACACCACCTGGGTGAGAGGGCTGCTTCCCACATCCCTCGCTTCAGGGAAGAATAGGCACTCTCAGATAGTCTGCTTCTTGGGGAAGTGTCAAGATTACAGGGGTGACAACRGAAGCAACAGATGGTGCTGGGGATAAAGCCGAGATGGGGGGGTGACTGGCTGGGAAGAATGCCAAGCATGAGGCTGCCTCACGTTTCTTCCTCCCCCCTCACATCTCACTTTCCCCAGGCCTGATAAGGTCCCTCACCATGGAGTCTGAATCTTGCATCATGAGGTTCTGATAGGATTAAACAGGAACTGGCCCTCAGGGCAGGAAGAGGTTAGCTTCAGAGTCAGGGACTAGTAAGGAAAAGAGACCAAGCAAGAGTGGACAGGAGTCTGATGCACAAGGAGAAAGAGGCAACAGAAACTCCTGAGGTGTTTCCTGCCCCCGACATGCACATACTTCAGGCATCAACCCAAACCCCATGGTTGATCTAGAGCTGAGCAGGGCCCAGTCAAGGGTAAAGGCTGCTGGGGATGTGGGACACACAATCCTGCTACATCTTGATCTCAAAGGAACCYAGCACACCTTGATCTCAAAGCACAATTCTGTATGCTCTTCTGAGCTCCAGGTCAAGACAGTGCCCAAGCCCTTCAGGGCTGGTCTAACCACTGTGCTAACCAGAGGGGCAGTGCAGACCTACCACAGCCACATCCAGACCCTGGAGCTGGTAAGACACCTGAGACATCTCCAAACACACCAAGACTACAATTAACCTTCCACAAACTCTTTGAAGAGTCAGTGTGGTGGTGCCCAATTTGCAGCAGGATAAGAAAAAAGCAAGATAAGAGATTATTTTCCCAGAATGACAAGACATGAGGGGAGAATGGAGTCCAGGCTCCAAAATTCAGGCCAAACTCCACCCAAGATCTCCACCCAAATTCAACCCTGTCCAAGTCTTCCCAAGAAGCTGATGACCCAGAGCAGAGGGTGWGGTAGGCGGCCATCCTTCCAGTTCAACCTGGCACAGTACTTAGGCTCCATGCTCTTAGCTCACAGTGCACTCTCAGTGCCTCGTGCACTGAGAGATAACAACACCCAAACTCCTTACAGGAATGGTCCAAGAGCAAACATAAAGAGGCCCTTCCAGACCACTGCTGTGTAGGCAGGCCTCTCAGTTKATCCTCTAAGAACTATCTCTGGACAAACATCAATGGAAGGAAGCCCTTCCAGAAAGTGCAACATGGGGCAAACATGTTCTCTGCTGCCTTCTCACACAGAGGATCAGTCTTTATGTCTACATAAATAGTAAGTATCATGTGTCATTTATTGTGTCCTTACCATGAACCCAACACTGCTCAAGTTCTTCATCTGAATTCTCTCACTGAATCCTCACAATAGCCCAATAAGAAATAATGTCTTTTATCCTTTTATACAGCTAAGATCAACAAGGGGTTAATAACTTGCTCAAGGTCAGATGACCAACAAGTAGCATATAAGATTCAAATCAGGCCCGTCTGATTCTGGTTACCCTACATACCACTCCCACCTACAAGATCAACTGCTAGAGCAACCTCTAGCAACAGACAAGAACCAGACATAACTTTCTGGTCAGCTGGGCACAGAAAATGCACACAGACACGTACAAGCACACATTGGTCTCAGCCTCCAGCGGGTCTATCAGGATTCAGGAACTGCCTTCCTCCAGTATATAAATTCCAATTCACTACACAGGGGTGAAGTGGATTTCAGATTCACCCAGCCTCTGAATCTTTACTCATCTAGTTAAATTTACTTAACTGATACATGCCTCCCCCCCACCAAGGGAAATAAAACACCCAGTCTATAAATTATGAAATCATGAGCTCCTGCTTAGTTATGYATATTTCCAAAGTAGACCAACAAATGTATTTTCAGATTAAAGGGGAAATTTACATATATAAATTCAGATGACAGTATTTATAGCATTAATTACATAAGTCCTGGCTCCCTTATTTAGCCCCAGAACCAATTCGTTATCGGTCACATAGTCAGAATTCCCCCCCCCCCCGCCCTCCCCTCCCTCCCTTTCCTCTCATCTCCCTCCTCCCGTTCCAGCCGACCAGGGCCTCACTTGCTGGCCAAGAGGACACAGCTCCCTTCACTGTCACAGCCTAGCCTCTCAGACACACCCAGATCCAGCCTTAGACACCAAGGGACGTACAGACACAACCCCCAAAAGGCCTCCCTCCCCCGGATGAATTATAAAAACCTTTAGGAAGTTGACTATGGCCTGACTCAGGTCCASAGAGACCCCTGCAGGGACCACCAAAAATGTTAGCCCAAGAGAAGGCAGACCCAGACTGAGCCCAAACACCCAATGGGCTGAATCTGGAATCACTCCCGTTCCAGGGGAATGGCTGTCGCAGACCCGACCACTGAGGCCTGACCTGTCGGGGTCGCATCCAGGATCCCGACGCGGGGAGGAAAGTGGAGGGGAGAAGAGGAAGAAAAGTGGGCGCAGGGTCTTCAGGATCCAAGTGTGCAACTACMCTGAGCGCTTTGGGGGGACTCCCTGGATCCTTAGGGCTTCATCCCCACCGTTTGTGTCCATCCAACAGCACCTGCGCGGCTAGGAATCTTCCCCAGTTGTGCAGAAAGAAAAACCCTGGGAGATGGGGGTAGAGAGTACCCCGGATCCTTTCCTCTGGCCTCCGGGATCCAGGTCTATCTTCACACCTGCCCAGAGCCAGGCGGGTCCTTGCTTCTTYCCAAGAAGGGGGTTTGCCTCGCCAGCCACCGGGCGAATCGCCCCCGCCCGACTCCCCGAGACCCSGGGCTAGCGCGGCCGAGAGCCGGCTCCAGTGTTCCCGAGCCCCCTGGGCGTCGAGGCCCGGCCGCGCGGCGCTGACAGCCCGCCTCGCGCCCCCCGGCCAGCTGCAGGGCGGCCCCCTTCAGCGCCTCCCGTGCGCGCCGCTGCCACCAGGGCCCTCACCGAGAAGCGTTCCAGGTCAGTGGCCGCCATGGTGAGCTCCGCACCGGGCGGGCGGGCTGCAGAGAGCGSCGGGGCCGCGACGGGGACAAGCCGGCTGAGGGACGCGCTCCGCCCGGGCGGCTGCGGCTGAATGGATCCAATATGGCCACTTCCTGGAAACTCCCCTTGGCGGCGGCGGCGGGAGAAGCCGCGGAGCCGCCCCCGCCCCCGCCCGCGGGACCGGCCTCTCCGCCCGGCCGGGCCACGAGCGCAGCGGAGCCGAGTCGCTGGGACCGCCGGGGGTCTCCGCGGCGAGGCGGGAGGTGCCAACTGCGGGGGCTGCTGGGACTTGTAGTCCGCGATTTGGGGGGCCCCGGACGTCTGTCTGGGGAGCTGGGGCGGGTGCCCAGCAGCCTGCCGCGTGTCCCTGGGAGCCTGGGGTCGAGCCGCGGTGGGAAGTGTTTTGGGCCCCCGCGCTAGGAAGCCCGGAGTGTGGGGAGTAGAGAGGAGTGCTGTGCGCTTCCTGGGGGCTCCCCGTTCCAAGCTGCCTAGGCACGCTGGACCTGCAAATGTACTGGAACCATCCACCAGAGTGCAGACGGGCTGCAAGCGGCCGCCTGGGTCCTGGAGGGGCCGCTTCAGCCTCGTCTCCCAGTGTCTTGGATCCCACCTGATGCTCCCGCCAGAGCTGGGGCGGGAATCCGGGCAGGACCGGCGCAGCCGGCCGGGCGGCCTTCCCAGGCAAGGGACCAGCCTCTGGCTTCTTGCGCAATGTATGCGCGGGATGCGCAGTTCGGACCAAAAATCGTGCAATAGAAAACAGAGCTCAACGGTTAAAGCATCATGTTGCTAGTGACCATCACCTACTGTCCCAAGAGTTTGGAATAGCATATTAATGGCATTCTGGATCTTTGCAGAAGACCACCGCTCCCAATGTATGAACATTTTCTCTGCTAAGCTCCCCACTCAAAACGTGCACAAAACTCAGAAAACTAGCACCTATGCCCAAGCCGGAGGCCTCAAGGGGCTCTGTGTTCTTCTCACTATCCGTACTAAATACAACTCCAAAAYCCCTGAAACTCTCCTTTTCTTTCCGTTCTTTCTTCATTACTCTGGTTTCTCTTTGGTAACATGGCAARGTTTGTTTCTTGATCCTCCATTGGCCTCATCCCAGGTGTGTCCACCCTCTAATCCTTTAAGAAACAACCTTCCATCCCAATCTGGACTTGGCACACCCCTCTTTAAGAGGAGTTGCCTCCTTGCAGTAGACCTTCTCACCCTGAGGTGACTTCCCCTTCCTTTCTCTCCCTAGAAAACAGTAGCTTTTCACCCAGGTGAACTGACATCCCATCCTGCTGGACTTTCCTGACATATATTCACTTGGTTCCTCTCTCTATCTTGCTGTGTGGCTGTTTCTTGGACATTTTTGTGTATAAGTAGTAGTTAGGTGAGGTGAATCTGTGGCAAACCTTCCTAGTTGGAATCCTGCCTTCACCCCTTGCTAGTTTTTTAATCTTACTTAGGCAAGTTACTTAACTTTGCTTCCCTTGCCTTGCCCTAAAAGTAAAGATACTATCCATAATATCTATATCACAGGATTAAATAAGGTAAAATAAGTAAAGGGCTGTAAACTGTAGTTGAAATATAGTGTTTAATAATATATCTCTATAAGCTCAGAAGTGGAAGGGAGGGAGGGAGAGAGAGAAGGAAGGAAGGAAGGAAGGAAGGAAGGAAGGAAGGAAGGAAGGAAGGAAGGAAGGAAGATGAATGAATGAATGAGTGGCCGATCAATATTGATTTGATCATCCTAGACCTTTTTTGCTGTTTCCTCTTAAGTGCCAAGAAGGCACTCCCGGCTACCATTTTCTGCATCACAACTCTTGGGATCTGCCCTAAATTGTTTTTAAAATGGTCATTATCCCTACTTGGGCATATCTCAAAATACCTACTCCTTGAAGTTACAGCCAGTGGCTATGAGAAGGAAAAACCCAGACTCCAGCTGATTTCCTTCTTGGTATATGTTCAATTTACTGGGAGAATTTACTCCTATTTTCCAAACCCCAGATTTCTTTCTCTTTGTATGYTGCTGCTGGTCAGAACTTATGAAGGAGTGAGAATTATCTATAGGGACTCAAAGGTGAGTATAACRATCATGTCTCACATTGCAAAGTGTTATTTCTTATAATAGCATTTCCAAGTGTTTCTTGTACTCCAAGGGGAAGTTTAACAGGAAAGATTGATTCCATTGTCAAATAACCATGGGGAATATTGAGTTCCATACAAGAATAAAGTTTCTGTGGAAAACTTCCCTAACTCAAGTTCATAAAAGACTTTCCCTCCTTTTTTTCCTTTCTCCTTTCCTCCTCCTCCTCCCTCTCCTCCTCCTCTTCCACCTCCTCCTCTCCCTCCTCCTCCTCCTCCTCCCCCCCCCTCCTCCTCCTCCTCCTCATTCTTCTTTTCCCCCACTTTTCTCTCTTTTTCCTTTGATGCTGGGTATCAAACCCAGGACTTCACACATGCTAGGCAAGTGCTGTACCATCAAGTTACATCCCCAGCCCTTTTGCTTGACTTTGAATGGCTTGACCATTATGGTCTAGCATAGTGTTACTGAACCTGCATTCCAGGCAGCAAAAGGAAATGAAAGTAATACAGAGAAAATGAGCAAACATTCTCAAATCTTTCCAGAAGCTGCCACATGGTGCTTCTGTTTACATCCCATTCATGAGAACTAAGAAATAGGGTTCTTTGCTGCTCATTGCATGCACAGCTAGAACTTCCTTAAATATTAGAAAAGGAGAGGAGATATTGGAAGACAGAAGCAATATCTGCCATATCTGGTTCTGGATGGTGAGATGTCTGAAAAATTTTTCCTGACACTTTAAAATTTTTATTTGTTAATTTTTGGAKAATTAAAACAAAAAAATGACAAGCAAGAAAATAATTAATTCAGAATTAATCAGAGATAATTTCTTATCCTATGCTTTCCTTTTTAATAAAAATTACATGATTTTATAAAAATGATATATGGACACTTTAAATAATTTTAACAATACAGAAAAGTTTGAATTGTTCCAATGCCATCATACAGAAATGCCCATCATGAACAATACATTTCAGAAAGCTTTCTGAGAATATTTACATGCCAGAGGAAAGATAATAGATATTTTAAAGAAATGTGGGCCATAATACAGATGCTATTTAAATAAATGTATTAAATTTAATTTTACTTGAAGTTGAAGTGAAACTGAAGGAGGAGTTGAACTTCAAAGAATGTTTCTTGACCACAATAAATATTACTTCCTAAGAGAGTGGGGCTATAGCTCAGCRGTGGAGCACTTGCCTCACACATGTGAGGCACTGGCTTTGATCCTCAGCACCACATAGAAATAAATGAAGATATTGTATCCATCTACAACTAAAAAATAAATTAAAAAAAGAAATACTACTTCCAAAAATRCCTCTGAGGTTAAACAAAAATTGTGAAAAACAATGTTACACATTGTTTTTATGTTAGACATTTAAATCATGTGTATGTGTGTATGTGTGTGTGTTCATTGCTCTGGAAAATTAGTCTTTGTGATTCTTCCCATCTATCCTGCTCCTGCCTCCTGGCTTTGTTATTTGTTATTATTACAATATCCAGGCTTACAACAATCATATTTTGCTCTGTTAAACACTATTTTATAGTTACTTAGCAGACATTTATTGCTGGTCTTTTTACAAAACCTTTTTTAGTTGCAAGTTCTTTATTTCAATTAATCTCTTTTTAAAAAAATATTTATTTTTTAGTYGTAGTTGAACACAACACCTTTATTTCACTTATTTATTTTTTTAATGTGRTGCTGAGGATCAAACCCAGGGTCTCACACGTTCGAGGTAAGCACTCTACTGCTGAGCCACAACCCCAGCCCCTCAATTAATCTCTTAATGGCCTGAATTTCATTGTTTAGCTATTTTTTCCAAGAAGAATTAAGTATGTTTAAGAATGTCTACCTATTGCCTCTTTGCAGGAAGCATATCTTAGCTGGGTATAATATTTTTGATGGGCAGACCTTTCCCATTTTGCAAGAATATTATAAAAGATGGTAGATTTTGCTCCTTTCTCTTCTAGGAAGAAGTCAAACCAACCTCCTCAACACATACACACACACACACACACACACACACACACACACACACACACACACATTTATTTTGGCAGGTGTAGGAGGAAGGAACTTTTTTCTTCTTTTGTCCTCTCTTTCCCTTTTATTGATCATTATATTTTGTTCCCATTTGTTTGAATCATTTTCTTGTCATTTGTTTTTGTGTGGCTCTGTTCAGAGTTTTTTTATACTGCTGAAACAGAGTGATAAGAGAAAGGGGCTTAGTGACCATCACCCCACTGTTTGAGACCAGTTTGGTTTTCCCTCTGAGCTAAGTGCAAGGCTGGGTCTTTGTATTCTGTACACTTTTAAGTATTCTGAAGGGAAGGAAGAGTTTGGTCAAAGCAGAGTACAGACTTTGTTGGAATACCTAGGCATGCTCCTGTCCTGAAGTTCTGTTTAAAGTCCTGTACAAGGCTCATGCTACCTGATTGGGGATAGAGAGGAGGACACTATAATTCTCCCCCAAAAGGGGGATAACCCAGGCCTTAGATCACTGTTCCTATCTGGAGTGTTGTTCTGGAGCCTGTATTTCTATTAGCCAAGACAGCTGGGTAGACCAAGCTCTTGTCTATCCAGTCTCCCGAGCTCTTCCAGAAAAGGAAGAATAAGAGCATGATTCATCCCTGCTTCTTTTTTAGGTTCAGGAGCAGTAGATAGAACACAGGAGTTTGTCAATTTCTGGGCATTGAGGACAGGGTAGGGAGCACAGAGAGATGTTCTCTGCGACATCTGGTCACTCGGGGATCCTCCATATCTTTGTTTGGATGCTATTTTTGAGGCGCACTATATTGGTCAGTAATAGTAAATCTCCCCCTTGGTTTTATATGCTTTTATTTCATTAGGAATTGAGAACGAGAACTATGGGGAGGCCCTAATCCACTACCTATTCTGGAAGTGCCTACACTTTTTTAAAGCAACATTTGCTGTCTCCGACTTCCAGGTCTGACTTGTGTCAACAGTTGCAAAAATAATACAAAGCAAGGGGAGACCTG